ATTCTTGAAAGAGTCATTATGCCACAAGTTAAATGGTCAAGGTTGGCATCATCTTTGGGACTTCTGGAATCACATTTTATTGTGATGACAAAAGCCTGCTTCAATCTCATGTCATTTTTATCAACATGTAGAGTTTCCCATTTGTCATCTCTTTTGTCAAGATTCTTGAATGGAACTTTTGGGCACCCTACAAATCTTTTTGCATGGCCCACCTCTGCAGATACAATATCCCTTGGGAAGTAACCATGTTCCATTCTATGTACATGAACAAGCCGGCAAAATTTTTGGTGCTTAATTAGCACTGTCACACTTGACTGAGAAAGAACTGCTCTGTTAGTGACTTTGACTTTCTATGTGATGTCCTGGATACACCCTAGACACCGGAGATAAATGTTATTGATTCTTTTTTCTTGGTGGGTGTAAGTTTTCTATACTTCACTGCGAAAAAGCAATGGTGAGAATACAGGACCTTGAAGATAAGCATCTTTGTTTGCTATCTTTTGTTAGTCAATCAAAGTTGGAGATGTTGTTTTAGATAGTTGGTATCTAAAAGAGTTAATTGTTATCATGAAACATCTACTCTGTTTATCAGGATATAAAGAACTGTTCACAAGAGGAGCTAAGCAGTTCTCATTCTGTCCCTGTATTTGTTACCAATGCTGTTTAAGAATGCTCTAGTAGTAGCAATGAAAACTTATTCTTGGGTTGAACCTATGTTTCACAAGAGGCATACATGTGTTGCTGAATAAAAGACAGTTAGTTGAAGCATTCTGTCTTGCATTCATCAGGACAATCTGCGAGAATACAAATTCAAGGGGAAACCCAACATTTATACTGTATGAGAGAGAATGCTAATTGTTTGGCAAGCAGATTCTGATTGGCAGAGGTGCAACCATTAATGCTAATTGACTGTAAATTGGCAGTAAACTGCCAGTCTTCGTTTAAATTTTAAACCCCTGATTGACTTTAATTGGCCAAGGAATCATGTCAGCACAGAAATAAATGAATAATTTGTTACATTAGTTTCAGTGCTAGTGTGCTACCAGGTCATATATCCCAAAGACTGGCGGATTGTATCAAACAGCATATCTTTTTGGCCGTTTGCATCAAGCAAAATGCTAACCGTACCTTACCAGTCTGTGCTTGCAAAACTGTCAATAGTGTCTAACATAAAACGTGATTCTGCATTTTCTGTATAATCCAGAGTGAGTGAAGAATTACATTGAGAGCCAGTTTATGGCTGTTAGTCAGGCTTGCAGTGTGACACCTGTATGTACTAGAAGGTATGTATATTAATACACAGATCCCAGTTCTTTAAAGACAGAAATAACGTGTACAGACACTGTACCTGTTTCAACTCAACAAAATAGGTTCAGCCATTCACTGGTTAATTTATCAAGGCTGTGTTAGCTCTGTATTTCCAAATGACTATTTGTAGACAATCATGTATCTCAGATTTAATGTAACTAGCCATTAAGTTATGTAGCAAACTAGTTACTGCTCAAGAATGAGCCTGTTTTCTTTCTAAGACTTTGTGTGGGCATGCATCCTCACATGGTTTCAGTAGCTTAGACTAATGCCAGCAAGATGGATTGGTAGCAGCGAATCTATCAAAGATATTACAGATGGTGCAGATGGAGGATCACCACAATATAAGATGCTAGCAGCAGTGTGCACCACTGTCACATATAAGATGGTGAACAGCAGTGTGGATTTTGACTGGAACTTTTCAGTTCTATAAAACTCCTAGCCTCTGATGAGAAGAAAGAAGAACAAATTCTAATCAGGAAACTGTGAGTGCATCTTTAAATTTTCAGCAGCTCAAAAGCACACAAAACCTGTCAGCGTCTGTGTAAGCAGCAGTTAGCAACAAAAAGAGACTACGGGAACGACTGCAACACTAGATCTGTCTGTAAAAGCTCAAATCATCTTGAAATAATGAAACACTTTGAAAACATTTGTGAAGGCCATGTAGAGCTATACCAAAGCTGTGTCACTGTCATGGTCTTATAGACTGAACCCAGAGGAAGGGCAGGGTCCCTCTACATCTGGAACACACACAGTTGCTGGAGTTGTCAAAAGGATTTGCTAGCTATCTATAGGATGGCACAGTGGCTCACTGGTTAGCACTGCTCCCTTACAGTGCCAGGGACCAGGGTTTGATTCCACCTTTGTGTGACTGTCTGTATGGAGTTTGCATATTCTCCCCATGTCTGCCTGAGTTTCCGCTGGATACTCCGGTTTCCTCCCACAGTCCAAAGATGTGCAAGTTAGGTGGATTGGCCATGCTAAATTGCCCATAGTGCAGGTTAGGTGGCTTAGCCATTGGAATGCGGGGTTACAGGGATATGTAAATTTACAGGGATAGGTAGGGGGAATGGGTCTGGGTGGGATGCTGTTCGGAGGGTCTATGATTCATCTAAAGTCTTTAACTAACCTGACGTTAACCCACAAGGCAGTCACACTTTGTTGTTGGACACCTAGTCATGTCAACATATGAGTAGGCCTGATGGCATTCAGAAGTCCAAAGTTCCTTTGAGATCCCTGCAATTCAGCCTAGTGTGCCTAGTTGCTGTTGTCACCTCAAGGAGGCACTGTAGGAGGATCTTGGTGATACAAAGGCTGTGCACTGGCAGTCAGAGACTTATATACTCTGCTCCCTTTTCACAATGGACAAGCTAGCAACAGTGGATTATGTAGCTGCATTTGATTCATAATCAAGGTTACCAATTCACAGGGAATAAATTAATGATCACTTGGCATCTGGAGTTTGGGAGATTTGGGGAAACTTGGGTGGGGGTCATCAGTGGCAGTGGTAAAGCATTCAGATTCTGCCAGCTCATTTCCCAGAGCCAAGTGCAAGCCCAAGCATGTGTAAAACAAAGTACAAACTGGACAGAAGAAATTGAAGATAGGGCATATCCTAGGAAGACTGTACTTTGAATGCGAGACAACTTATTGAATTATAGTACAGTCCTGAAAAACCCAAGAACCCTGTTTGTAACATCACCCTGTGGCTAAACCACTGACAAACACGATGGGAGATAAAGTAAGTGAGTCTAGTGACTTGCCCTCAGCCACTCCTTGTGGTCATACTTTTGATCGTACTTTTAAAGTATCTCCTTATCTGGTGAATAATTGCACAAGTGATGACTCTGCTCACTTTTCCTCCATCATCAGTTCATCTTTGATCTGGCAATAAATAAACTGTCAGTGGAAGAAAATCTGCCTGAACTGGTACAAGTAAAAGAAAGAAAAGCTTGCATTTTGAAAGCGTGTTTCATAACTTCCGAATGTTCCAAGCATTTACAGCCAATTAAGTATTTCAGAATATAGTCACTGTGGTAACGTGATAAACAATTAGTAAACAGAAACCTTCCACAAACATTGATGTGACAATAAGCAGATTTTTTAAACTTAGATTGATTGAAGGATTAATATGGTCAGGACATGAGAAAAACCTCATTTGATGTTCTTCAATAGGGTCTTTTAAGCCCACCTGAAAGAGCAGATGGCACCATAGTTTAATATCTCATCTGAGCAACAGCTCCTCTGACAATGAAATGCTCCTTCAATCTAATATAGACCCATTACTTTGTCCTCCTACAGTTGAAGGCCAAATATAAGCATATCTTGTCACAGACTGTTAGAGCTAGAGTTGAAAATACTTCTAAAGGATGACCCTGGATGAGATCTTTAGATGGCTGACACGGGTATCAGGTCTCACTAAAAATAGTGAAATACTTACTAGAGTGATCAGGAGTCCTTCCAAGAGCCACATGTAAAATTAATCGAAGTCTTCTATAAAAGGCTAGAATGTCTGAGCTGTGTGCTTGGCTGATTTGTACCTTAAAATTACATTTGGGTCCTACGAATAAATAGGATCACAACCTTTTTTTTTCTTAATCAACCTGTTCGGAGATGTCATTACACAAGCCTGCAGGTGGGACTTGAACTCAGAACTTCTGGCTCGGGGTAGAGGCAATACCATTGCACCACAAGAGCCCTAACCCATCTTTTCAATATATATACATATCCAGAAATGCTCTTACACACAAAACATTTTTCCCCATCACCAAATCACACGTGTTTCTTTTTCTCCATCTATTAATCACCATTAGTATATCACCCATATTTTCCAATTCATTAATTTTCATGCAAAGCCTGTTAAGGGCAATGCAAACTATCAAAGTTAGGCAGAGGGAAAGGGACTATATCAAACTGGAGTGCCCACCTCTCTCTAAACATGTCAAGAGTATTGGTGGATACCACGTGCTCCTTCTTCCTAGAACACCCAGGCATGACTGTAGCCACAAAAGAAGGTGCTATAACACCCCTCCACAGCGCACTGCCAGGACCTGTTAAGAGCCAATTTGGCAACATCCAGGAGCAATCCCATGAGGTAGACCTCGAACTTGCATATACCCTTGCACAAAGATCAGGAGCATGGGGCTGAAATGCAACTAAAAGCACAACAAAAGATTTTTCAAATAACTAGAAAGGAGTAGCAATTGTGCACATGCAATATATACATGATCACTGGTCTCCACAAAATAAACAGTTGGGTTGGGAGTCCGTGAACCACTGCAATCTGCTGCAGTAAAAGCTGAACTGGACTGCAAACTTTGATATTTTCTAATTTCTGTTTAGAGATTTTGTAATACATGTTTGGAACAGGTGTGCGTAAGAGCATCTCTGTGCATGACCTGGGCCACCTGGCTCAGAGATAAGGACACTAACACTGCACCACAAAAGCTTTAACCCAACTCTTATATTAAAAGTAGCTACTCATCTAAAGCAGGCTGGCACTTTGACCACTTGTTTAACAACCTCATGCAAGATACTGGCAGCCAGTGCCTCTATATGAACAGGGTATTCCAATTTTAGTCTGTTACCTCCCAATTAATGTTAGGTGGACTGAGTTGAACCTGGCCTTGTGAATGATATATATGATGTCGTGTTGAATCAATTTATCTTAGTTTGATTTATTTTTCTTTTAGGGATCGATTTCAGAGTAAAAACTATCAAGATAAATGCGAACAACACAATTAAGCTGCAAATATGGTACAGTCATTTTGAATATATTGTAAATTCAATCGGCTGAATTTTAAGGGCCACCTTGGAGTGGGAAAGCAACAGGTATTTGCCTCAGACTTGTTTGCCCTCGATCACACTGATGTATGTGTTAAGGAATAAGCACACCTCCACTTGGCAGGCTTGCTTTAGGGGCAGTCAGATGAGGCAAGACTTCTGCATGTCCTGGGAACAGTCTTGACTTGTAGAGCTATCCACATGTCACCATTCAGTTTACTGCCCACCTCAGTTTTATAAGTGATGTCCACTTGAGTGCCTGTTCTTTCTGTCTCATGATTTAACGAGTCGCAGAAGAGGCCTGCATCCAACATGCAGTCCAGCAAGTTTGACTCTACTGGCTAGTGAAAGGTATGGTGCCTCCTTTCTTAGCCCCAGGTGCCAATTAGAAGCTCCTTTTCATTGTTTTCCCTCCCCTTGCCGCAGTCCTGTCTGTCATATTTTTCCTCACCTTCATCGGGGCTTTACTGGCTTGGTGAGACCATGACCTCACCTGGATGTCTGGATCCATCAATGAATGCTTCCACAATGTTCTAAGTGCTGTACCAGCAATAGTCACAACTCCCAGTAGGGCTGCCAGTACAACAGAACTGCTGATCTGTGATTGGCTAGCAACACCATAAGACAGGACTTCCTCCTGGGGAGGGCAGGAAGCTTGCGTCTTCTAAAGAACCATCAGCTAAAACATTAAAGCATGGTGAGCCTGTCGAGCTTCTAAATATTTACGTCAGTGTGATCCAGCGCAAATACATATGCATTAATTATCTGCATTTTAACAAAATTTGGCTCTGGATTTATGAGATGGAGGTTGAGCTGCAGACATTGTAATGCAGCAGGGAGAGGGAATGTTACATGGGTACTATTCCAGAAGGTGGTCACACTCCTTAGGAAGGGGTCTTCTTACTTGGTCACTGGTCAGGGACAAGTATATGTGACTGTGAGTAAAGCAGGTGTGAGGACTCAGGAGGTAATGGAGTCTGACTATTTGCAATTGTCCAACATGTTTGAAGTCCTTTCAGATTGTTTGGGTAAGAATAAAGGCTGCATGATATGTGAGATAACTGATCATGGCACCATGGCATAGGGAACCATTCAAGTAGCAGGGAGGAGCAAAAAGAAATGTAATGGTGTTAGGGGATAGTACAGTGAAGGGTATTGACATTGTTGCCTCTATTACTGTGAAGAATAACCTGCGGATGAGCGTGGCCTGCTATTATAAACATAAGCCTGCTCCAGAAGGTACTCAGGCTTCTTTTGTTTATGGTCAGGAGGCAAGGTGTGCAGATGGTTCCGCAGAGTACAGACGAATCATTCACACTGTCCGTTGTTCACACCCGCCGGATGATGGAGGTTAGTGCAGCTTTTACAATGCCATAGGACTGCTAAAGCTCCAATAGGATCTTGGTCTTGAAGTTGTGCCCCAATGACTGAATCTGAAATACCAATCATGTACTAACATTCTGGATATATTGGAAGCCTTTTGGTCGGGAGTGGGAATGGCCATCTGCATGCACGGTGAAGGTATCCTTGAGTACAGGAATTCCCATTACTACTCCAGCCAAAGACATTAAACTCCATTGTAAGAATCTTTAGAGAACTCTTGGCAATCAGGGATCCTATGCTGGAATGCATTCCCACCCATGGTCAGTATCAATATTTGTATTATTTATGTCTTAGGTTTACTGGATCTGGAATCGAAACTCAATGACTTCGGCAGCATTGGGTACATATTTCTCCAAGCTTCGTGGATGTTTAAAAATAGCCCTGTGATTTGTTGTCTGTAAAATGGCTCTGAATATCTAGGAAGTAGTTCACCTCAAAGTCGGCAGTTTGAGTTTCATATTGGGGTAATTTTCCTTATTCTTCTCATTGGCTTGAGACCCTAAATGTTACAAACAATTACCATTCGTTTCTGCCCTTGAACCTGTGACATGTAGTATGGTAGGAAAAGGGAAATCTGGGAAGCCTAAGATGGATGATGCGACAAACTTATGGTTGAGGTTGCAAAAGGAATCTTTACATGCTGGGGTCCAACTCCCTAAAATGCTCTGTGAAGTATCATGCTTTGTACATTCTTTCCCACCAGCTTCAAATGTTGTCTGATTTACTTAGCATGTCATTGAGTAGGGCAGGCAACTGAATGTAGCCTTTTACAAACCTTTTATAGTAACTAGCTAGACCAAAAACCCGCACAGTTACCTCTCCAACTTAGGCCGGGACCACTATTTCACCACTCAGATTTACTCATTATCACAAGTAACACCTTCATTGGAGGTAAAATACCCATGGTACTGTACTTTGTCTGGAACAGTTGGCATTTCTCTGGTTTCACTTTGAAATTTAACTTTGTCAAGTGGGCTAAGATATGTGTTGTCTTGTAATGATCTCCTGAATTGTTAAGCCAAAGATAAGTATGCCACCCAGGCACAGTAAGAAAGACTGGAAATTAAGGTTGCCAAAAAATTTATCTATCACATGTATGAAGATGGCAGGAACCTTGCAAAACCCAATTGGCATTCTCATTTGTTGGTAAAGTCCATCAACCATCCACTCAAAATATCATCTTTTCAATGTCTTGTTGAGCATAGTTAGAAGGATTCCACAGTGTAGGCATAAAGTCATAATAGATGAGATTGAAAGGTGACTATTCAAGATGGAGCAGATGTTAAAGAAATTGAAAACTGATGGGATAGACATTCATGCCAAATCCAGGCAACAGTTCCCCATGTGTGTTCCCTTGATGCTATAGAGAAACGATTTAGTACTCCTTGTTGGATGTTTTATTGGGAGGAAGATGAGAAATGCCAATGATTAAAAATTGTAATGAGACGCACAACTGGTTATGGCATCTGAGTGCAGGCGAGAGGTGGCATTCATAATTAAATATTTGTGTAAGAAAGACGAAGAAGAGGTACAGATGTTCAAAGAGGTCTGCAGTGGATCTTTGAGGTACTGACAACAGTTTTTGGGGACTGTAGCCTGTCACATCTACAGCAAAGGTTTTACAATTACAAGCAAGTTGAAGGAGAGAATCTGGTCTCCATGGTCCTGGTGCTGCTGAAGGTGTTCGACTGCATTGTCCTCCTGGATCCTTCCTACAAATCAGGGAAAGACAGATAGCTGAAAGAATGCCTAGCTAAAGTGGAGAGGGTTTGGAAAGTCTGGATGGAATTGAAGAGGCAAAAGTGGAAAATGGGGGTGAAAATACCTGTGGTGTTGGGATCCAAGATGTTAAGGGCTATCCGGGGCATCCTTGGAGTGCATGTCATAAATGCAATGAGTAATTGAAGAACATGAACAAGCTGAAGATTTTGAAGCAGGGATTCCTTATTTCTCTGGATTCTGATCTTTACAAACATGAAGAGAAATTAAGCTTTAAATTGGAAAGCATGATATTTACATGGAATTATGCCTGTAGCTCACATTTGGTTAAGGAAATTCTTTCGTCTGTCTCTCTCTCCCTCTCCATGACACCTCCCCTTCTGTTTCTCCATGAGGCTTCTCCCCTCCCTGTATTGCCATAGCTAGCTAATAAGAAATAGAGAGTAGGCACAAAACGTTTGTGCCCTGGTGGGCAACATATACCAAGTGGTGTACAACAGCAATCATTGCTGGAACCTCAGTTTTTACAATTTACTTAAATTGAATTGGATGAAGGAACTGAAGGTATGATTGCTAAATTTGTTGATGACAGAAAGGCAGGTAAAAAAGTAAGTTGTGCAGAGAACATAAAGAAGCTACAAAGGAATATGGATCGGTTAAGTGAATGGGAAAAGATCGGACAAGTAGAAAATAATGAGGGAAAATTGGAAATTATCCATTTTAGCAGGACGAATAAAACAAAACATTTTATATAAATAGTGAGAGACTGGCCAGCTCTGCAGAGATGCAGAGGACCCTTGTGCCTGTGTCCCAAAAGGTTAGTATGCAGGTGCAACAAATGAGAAAATCTAATTGAATGTTTATTGTAAGAGAAATTGTATAGGCCAGCGCACTGCTGCCTCACATTGCACCAGGGACCCGGTTTCGATTCCGGCCTGTGTGGACTGTCTGTGTGGAGTTTGCACATTCTCCCATGTCTACGTGGGTTTCCTCCAAAGATGTACAGATTAGGTGGATTGGCCATGCTAAAATTGCACATAGTGTCCAGGGACGTACAGGTTAGGTGGATTATCCATGGGAAGTGCAGGGTATAGGTGGGGGTGTGGGTCTAGGTGATATGCTCTTCAGAGGGATGGTGTAGACTTGGTAGGCTGAATGGCCTGCCTGCACGTGGTAGGAGCTCTATTATTCTATGACAAAATCATTACAAAAGGGAGGTTATTCTTCTGTTATACAGGGGCATTAGTGAGATCATATTAGGAGTATTGTGTACTGTATTGGTTTCCTTATTTGATGAAAGATGTAAATGCATTGGAAACATTCAGAAAAGGTTTACTAGACAAATACCTGGAAAGGCTCTTTTCATGAGGAAGCGTTGCACAGGCTTGGTTTGTTTCGACTGGAGTTTAGAGGAGTAAGAGATATCTTGATCAAAACGTAGATCCTGAGGTTTCTTGACAAGCTGCATGTGGAAAGGATCATAGGAAATAAGAGCACAGCAGCAGAAGTAGGCTATTCAACTTCTTAAGCCTTCTCTGCCATTCTATATCATAACTGATCATCTACCTCAGTGCCATAGTCCCGCATTACACAATATCCCTTGATGTGATTAGTAACTAAAAATCTATCATCTCTGACTTGAACTTATATAAAGACAGAGTTTTCTCAGCCCTCTGGTTGAAAAATTCCAAAGTGTTTCCTCCTTATGAGTGAATAAGTTCCTTGTTATTGTAATACTGAGTAGCTTGCCTTTTATTCTGAGACTGTTTCAGGTTCTAGACCCCACGGCCAGGAGAAACATCCTTTCTGTATCAATGTCTGTGTATCCCTTTAACAATTTGGTAAACTACCTCTCATTCTTCAAATTTCACGAGAATACAGGCCCAGTCTCCTCATCTCTTTAGAAAAACAATATAAAAAAGGGGTTACAATTCTAAAGTGGGGCAAGAGATTAGAGGGACATGGGTGTATGAGTGAACAGATCACTGAAGGTGGCAGGACAGGTGTAGAGAGCAATTAATGAAGCATACAGTACTAAGAGAGATAGACCGTGCAAGAGTGAAGAGGTGATGTTGAACTTGTACAAGACACTTCTCAGACATCAACTGCAGTATTGTGTATAAAGTTGCCACAATCCCAGAGGACCATAGAGCAGCTGTCTCTTTAGAGAGAGATATTACTGATCGTGAATTTAATGTGAGGATCACCGTGCCTCAGGTGAGGGATGAGGGTGAGAAGGCAGGATCTTCCCGGTAACCTCAGTATTGTGTGCAGTTCTTAGTGCTACATTATAAGGTCAAGAACCTTTAGAAGATTTAAAATGATTTGCAGAAGAAGCAAATGTGAAGTAAGAAAAATCTTATTTTACACAGTAAATAGTTAAAACTTGGAATACTATGCCTGGAAGTGTAGGTGGAGGTTCAATTGAGACATTCAAGAGGGAGTTGGATGATTATTTGAATAAGAATGATGTGCAAGGATAGGGTTTCTGATTCCACCTTCACTGCTTCTTGATCCTTGTAATACAGTAAAATAAGTTATAAGAATATAAAAGAGTAAAAGAATAGTTTTTTTTAAAAAACGTAAGTCTGTTTAGGAATCAAAGCAGGAGTTTAATTTTGGTGGATGAAGATATAGTGGAAATATTCAATAAATATTTCACTGTCTTTTTCTGCAATTGATAATTTAAGTGAGAATGTAAGTTGTAGAACAATGCTTGTGGATAACTGGAAAAGGAATTAGTTCTGAGAAAGATTAGCATAACGCAAAGTGAATAGGTCACTGGTCTATGGTTGCAGCGAGGCTGTTGATAGGACTCAGTGTGTGAGAGATAGTAAAGAGTTTGGCCACAGTTTTCAAATCCTCAATGAAGTAAAACTTACGCAAAACTACACTCTAAAAAAGTAGTCAGATTGGACTCAAAGCATTAGCTCTGCTTTTGTGTCCGTAGGTGCTGCCAGACTTCTTGTGTTTCTTCAGCATTTTCTGTTTTTATCATGCAAAACTATTCTTCAGTCATCACTTCTGGCCACACTAATCTACGTTAGCTCCGTATGCAACAACACATTACATTTATTATTCTTATCTTTAAATCTCTGTTTAACACTTCCTCATCTTATTTCTGTAATTTTCTGCAATTCTATAGCAAACCAATAATCACTCCATTCTTATAACCCTAGTGATTTATGTATTCCTGGTTCTCCTAATCCACAAGCAAAGTTCATCACAAGGAAAAATAGTAACCTATTGAACCTCCTCTAGCCTCAATCCTATGCACAAGGCAAAATACCCATGATCTTAGCGAATGGCAGACCATGCTTGTGGGACTGTAGTATACTATTACTCATTAGTATTAGCTATACAAAAAATGCCATCACTGCTGCTTATGCTCAGGCTTTAAGTTATAATAACAGATTATATCCTGCTGCTACGGTTAGAACAGACGGGATACCAATGTGGGCAGATGTCTGTACTGCCTGCAATTTAAAATTAAAAGAAATCCTCAAATCCATTCTAACTGCTCCTGAGGTGGTGACAATTAAAATCAGAGTCAACTATCTTCCCTTTCTTTTCTGAAGTTGTTTAAGGAATGGATAATGTAATTACTACATTTTCTATTGACAGGGACACAGCTGGCCAAGAACGATTCCATGCTCTGACAACTCATTATTTTCGAGGATCTAGTGGCCTTATGCTTGTCTATGATATTACAAATTTAAAAACGTTCACTAATATTGCCTATTGGATTAAAGACACTGATGAGGTGAGTTTTTTGTTAGCTTGTCACTGCCCCTTTTTCTGTTACTTTTAGTTTGTTCTCTTTGTTCCTATCTTTTCCCAGATATATTGCATCTAGCTATGTTGGAGAGCAGCTTTCTCATGAGGTGCCATTTATGTTATTTTTGAGACACCTGTTCAAAGATATTCAGAACAGCTTCAATCCTAAGGGTGAATATATTTTGCATCTCTGTACAACAACTTATCCACCATAATGTGGAGGTGCCGGTGTTGGACTGGGATGGCCAAGGTCAGAAATCATACGATACCAGGTTGTAGTCCAACAGGTTTATTTGAAAACACAAGCTTTCGGAGCCTCAGTCCTTCTTCAGGTGTTAATGAGAGAGATAGTATCAGACACAGACTTTATAAGTAAAAGATCAAAGGTTCACATCATTGATGAGGATGTACTAAACAAACCTAAGATGCTGCTAAATCTTTAATCAGATAGAAGGTTTTAATTGATTAATATGCATATGTAAATCCCCGAATTCCTTTCAAGTTATGGCCGTGAGAGAACTAAAGGTTTTATCAGTGTAAAGAAGAGGTGACATTCTAGGTCAGACAATGCATGTTAGTTGTGAGACCTTGTTTAGAATCTGTTTGTGTTTTAGATTGTAGTCAGACTGGTTTTATTTCTAAAGTAGGAATTTATAAAACGCCGTATTGACTGACTGTCTATAAATTGTGTGCTTTTTGAACAAAACAAAATGTATCTGCAAATACAAATTCACCACATAGATTCATGTAATAACTTGCTTCATTTCATAATACAGTATATAAAGTGCCTCAGTAAAGTGTGCCACTGCACCATCTAAAAGGAGGTTCTTTCATGTGTACAGATACTAATGAGAATTTCACAATCCAGTGATCCCAATAGGATCATGCACTTAGAAGGAATACGATTCAGAAAATCTCAAGTACATAACTCTCACCATTCATTTTAATGGGCAGTAATATTCACATTGTCATTCAATGTCAGATAACAAGGTGTAGAGCTGGATGAATACAGCAGGCCAAGCAGCATTAGAGGAGCAGGAAAGCAGGAAGGGTCTGGACCCTTCTTCAGAAAATCAGATTCTCCAGCATCGGCAGTTCCTACTATCTCTGAATCGTCATTCAATGTCATTTAGTTTATAACAGCCTAAATCTGTATAATTAGTCCAGCATTGAAACGAAACAATGTTTCCATCTTGAAATTGTAAATTTTACAGTTACACTATTAAAGCAGTAACAATAAAGTAATGGCTCTGAATTTGAAATAATGATGCACATTGTTCAGACATACAATAAATTCATACATTTAGTAAATGTATAAACATGGATCTAATGAATATAATTCCCTTCAGCATGCAGGAAATGATGCTGGACGAATATTGATTGGTAATAAATGTGACATGCTAGCAGCACGTCAGGTTTCATGGGAAGATGGAAAAAGGGTATGTTTTAATATTTAATTATTATTTATTTACAATTTAGAGATTTAAAATGTGCTTGTAAACTTCATGAGGATAGTCTTTGAGCACCGAACAGTTTAATTCTTGGATAATTTAGAAGCATAAAATCTATTGTGAGCAAGGTAAAGTCTGAGTATATTCTGAAATATGGTGATTTGTATTTTAAGCTCGCTCAGGAACATGGAATGCAATTCTTTGAGACCAGTGCAAAAGAAGACATGAACATTGAGAAAGCATTTGTGGCCCTAGGAGAAGAAATAATAAGAAAGGTGTGATTTATGTATCATTGTAAAATGATAGCAATATCCAAGAAGTCATTTTTCTTTCATTCCCTTCCTAAAATTATCCACTTCTGTCATAGGGATGTTGTGCCCAAAACATGTGCTAGTTCCCCACTATTTCAAGGAATTTCCTCATTGACTTGTAAGATGCACTAACTCCATCAAAGGTAAAACAAAGAACTGTGCATGCTGGAAACCTGAAACAAAAACTGGAAATGCTAATGAAACTCAGCAGGTCTGGCAGCATCTGTAGAGAAAAAAGCAGAATTAACATTTTGAGTCCAGTTAGAACAGACTCACTGGACTGGAAAGGTTAATTCTGCTTTCCTTTCTACAGACTCTGCCAGACCTGTTGACTAAGTCCATCTGTCCGTACAAGCCAAGTGATGACTAGTATAGTGTCATTTAAGTGGCTTTTGGGTGGGATAGCCGCGTACAAACCTTACATAAGCTTACAAATAACCCTCTTCTCACCTTAAACCTATGCACCCTAGTATTTGACATTTTCACCTTGGGGAAAAAGAGGCTCCGACTATCCACCTTATCCATGCCTCTCATAATTTTATATGCTTCTATCAGGTCGCCCCTCAACTTCAATTATATTAAAATTATTACCTTGTAAACATTACCCACCGGTATTGCAAGTTTAATATCCACAGCTCACTGGTGGCAGCTGTTCAACTATATTAGCTACACTATTACAGGATATTCAATAACATACTTCTCTCATAAAGTGAAAGGACATTCACCAGTAAATAACTGGAGAAGGGTAAAGAACACTGCATGCTTTAACCCCCTGGAGGGGTAACACTGAGGCCATAGCCATTGGCAGAACTGGTAGGCTTGACAGCCAGGAAAAGGTGGTGGAGTGACTATGTTTACTTTATAGAAAAGTTCAAGGTAATCAGGTGGAATCAACATGGTTTTTAAAAGGGAAGTTATATGTAAACACTGGTTGGAGTTCTTTGAAAAAGTAACGTGTTATGGTTAAAAGGGAATAAGTGGTGGACTGTACTCAGATTTTCAGAAGACTTTTGATAAGGTACCTCAATAAAGATTATTATGAAAAATAAAAGCTCGTCGTGTCGGTAACATATTACCATGGATAGAAGATTGGCTAGTTGACACAAAACAGACAACAGAAATAAATGGATCATTTTCTGGTGTGTAATGCAGATCAGTGCTGGGACCTCAACTTGTTACCATTTATAAAAATGACCTGGACGAAGAAACCAATGGTCTGGTAGCTAAGTTTGCTGATGTCACAAAGATCATTAGGAAAGTAAGTTGTGAAATGGACATGAGGAGGCTATGAAGGGGTCTAGATAAATTAAATGAGTAGGAACAGATGGGGCAAGTTGAATGTGATATGGAGAATGTGAAATTGTTCATTTTGACTCGAGAATGAAAAGGAAGCATATGAACTAAACGATGAGAAATCTGAGATGTAGAGAGATCTGAGTGTCCTAGTGCATGAGTTTCACGAAGATTTGTATGCAGGTACAGCAAATAATTTATGAAAGTCAATAAATGTTATAATTAATTGTGAGAAGAATTGAATTTAAAAAATGGAGGTTATGCTTCTGTTACACAGGGCTTTACTAAGATCAGTCCTGGATTACTGTGTACTATACTGGTCTCCTTATATAAGAAAGGATGTAAATGTTTTTGAAGCAATCTGGAGACAGGTTACTAGACTAATATTTGAAATGAGTGAGTTGTCTTATGAGGAAATATTGTATACGATAGGTGTGTATGTGTTGCAGTTTAGAAGAATAAAACATGTTATGGATCAAACCAAACCCCCTCAAAATATATCAAGGAGATAGCATAGACCCCAACTTTCTTCTTATTTAAAGGCAAGTATAAGGTGCTGTGTTCCAGATGTGATTCGATTGGTCAAACTACTAAGCTTTAAACAAAACACACTTTATTCTTCTACCACAGTTAAAATACAAAAAAGGAAGAATTGACATAACTTTAACTCTGTTGAAATACCTAAGAAATTAATATATTACTTAACTACTACTCATCAACTATTCCAATGTAGCAGCATCCCATAAATACAGACTTGTCAAAGGCAAATTCAGTAAAACAGATTTTATCACGTGCTATCTCCAGCCCAGGAGAAATGAACACTGAAACAAACAATCTAGTTGCAGGGAAAGAACTCAAACTTTTAGCTGTAGCAGCGAGAACTGTATCTAGCAGCTTTTAACAGCAAGCTTCAACTTCAACTGAAAGCAAAACTAAAACCCTGTGTCTGTGTGAGCTTGACTGCACACACACATGCTTCTTTTGTCTAATTTTAAAAAATACGCTCAGGGAGCTCAAAGCTGTTTACCCGCGGCTTCTGAAGCAGACATTCTGGTACCACTGGAAACACTTCTCTGCAACAGAATAGATCCCTTTTAAAGACACACTTCCGTCTCAAATGCAACTTGATTAATATCCTGAGAGGTCTTGACATGTTGGATCTGGAAAGGATCTTTCCTGTTTTGCAAGAATGTAGAAGTAGTGGTCACTGGTTTAAGACAGAGAGAAAGAGATCTTTTGTGACCCACTCCTACTTCCAACTCATGTATGTAGGACAAGGAGGCATTTTGCAATCATAATTCTTCACTCTCATGTCTTAACCTCTTCTGATTTATAAACTGCAAGGAGGCTTAAGCACCTACTTTCTCATCTCCATCTCAGCACTTGTTTAATCTTGTCCCAGATATATCACTCACTCTATTGTTACCATGAAATCAAGTGAACAACCTTGGTACAATGTAGAGTGTAAAAGAGCAAAACCAGTTGAACCTAAAAGTCAGATGCCAAACTAATAAAGCTTCAACACAGGACCCTATGTATGTGAGGCACGTAAGCAGCGTGCTTTAAGCAGAACAAGTGATCCCGCAACTAATGTATTAAATCAAAGCTCTGCAATCCTTCCATTTATATTTATGAATGGTGGCACACAGTTAAATAATTACGAAGAGGTGAAGAGCTGCCAAGAACTTCCCCATCTTCAATAGCCCAAAGTGTCAAGCAGATTATCCATTTCCCTCGCCTCCAGAGGCTTTTACCATTAAAAACACTAGTCTCTAGTCAAACAGATCTACTCCAAGTGATGTAAGAAACAGTAGAACGTGATGGACATAGAAAAGGCTGTAGAACCTGACAGTACATCTACAACACTGGTATCTATCCTACAGAGTGGAAAATGATCCGGATTTATTCTCTCCACAAGAGGCTCAATTCGATCTGGCTGTTAATACCTGGGTATCATTGTGGGTGTCGAAATGTTGTACCAATAACATGCATGCCAATGCTCAGTTTGGGTTTTGCTGGAATCACTCAGCTCCAGACCTCATTACATCCAAGGCCAAAGCTTGGTGTAGTGAGATTGACTGCTCTTAACATCATGGCAGCATATTGAGTGAGCTACAAGTAAAACTGCAGCAAATGGAATCTGGAAAAAAAATTTTCACAAACTGGTGTCACAAAGAAGGTGGTTGTGATTGTTGGAGGCCAATAATTTCTGACCCAGGACACCGCTGTACAGTTTCTCAGGGCACTTTCCAAACCAAACTATCTCCAGATACTTCAATTACCTACCTTCTATCATAACAACAGAGGTGGGGACATTTGCTGATGATTGTATTGTATAATGTTCCACTCAGCTAATGAAGAAGTCTGTGCCCACATGTCACAAAACCTGGCCATCACCTGGCCTGTTAAGTGCAAATAACATTTGTGCCACACTGGGATCAGGTAATGTCTGTCTTCAATAATAGTGTAACAACCCCTCTTTTTATTCAATTACATTACTATAATCAAACATCCTAGCATCTCCAGTCTAGGGCTGGTGGAGGAGTGTTTCCATTGACCAGGACCTTTATTGGACCCACCAAATAAATTCTGTGGCATCAATAACAGATCATAATATTCTGTGGCAAGTCATTTATTTCCTGACTCCCAAAAGCCTTTCCACCACCTACAAGGCACAAGTTAGCAATTTGATGGAATACTCTGGGATTGTCTGCTTTGAGTTCAAACTTGACACCTACCAAAACAAAGTAACCTGCTTAATTAGCCCTCTATCCACCATATTAAACATTGACCATTATGGGATTATGAGGATTAACAGGATTAATGAATGACCTCAGAGTAAAGGCAGTAAACATGATATGATTGAATTTTGCATTCGGTTTGCAAAGGACAAGATTAAGTCTAAGACTAGTATTTTGAACCTAAATGAAGGCAACTATGTGGGCATGAAAGCTAAACTAAGTGAAGTGAGCTAGCATACTAGGATAGGAGATAGATCATTAGAGATACAGTGTCAGACATACTCAGAATAAGCACATTCCCATCACAAAGAAAAAAATTAAAGCAAGAACCCAGAATCCACTGAAGAAGTTAAAGAAAGCATCAACTTAAAGAAAAAGCATATAACTGGGCAAAGACACTTAACAGGATAAATGATTGATCAGAATATAAAGAACAGCAGAGAATGACTAAAAGGTTAATCAGCAGGAAGAAATTAGAGTAAGAAAAAAGATAACTAGGAATGTAAAAACAGATAGCAGGAGTTTCTCTAGGTATTGAGAAAGGAAAAGAGTAAGTAAAGTGAATGAGAATGGGGATGTAATAGTACATATTAAGGAAATAGATGAAAAGAATAAATATTTTGCTTTAGTCTTTACTGTAGAGAATACAAAAAAAGTCCAGTCATAGCAGAAAATCAAGAGGTGGAAGAGAGAGAGGAATGTAATGCAATGACAGTCATGAGGGAAGTGGTGCGAAGCAAACTGACTGAGCTGTAGGCTGACAGGTCTTTGGGTCCAGGTAGACTTCATCCTAGGGGCTTAAAGAACGTGATCAATGAACTAGAAGATATGTTGATGTTAGTTTCCCAAAATTACTTGAAAAAATGACAAAGATGACTGAAGAGCAGTGAATATCGTCCATCATGGTGGGCTGATCCAGAAGATTAAGTCATAGGA